CGTCTTTTGACTTCCTAACTGCTGGTGCCAAGAATGTTGATTGTGGAGACAAGCAAGCTGTAATTGTTAACAACCTCAATCTCTTCTCCACCTATTATGGTCCTGCCAATGAGCCCAGTGATAAGAATCTTTATCTTCTTGATGTTGAGCTTTAGTTCATATTGAAGACTACTACTGTCCTTTGGGCCCTCTTCAGTTTTCAGCAAGCAAAGTTGTGTCATCTGTATAATATAGGTTGTTGATGAGTCTTCCTCCAATCCTGATGCCACATTTCTCCTTATAAAGCCCAGCCTCCCGAATTATCTATTCTGGATATAGATTGAAAAGGTATGGAGACAGGACGCATCCCTGATGCACTCCATTCCTGATTCTGACCGATGCAGTGTTTCCTTGCTCTGTTCTGAGGACTACTTCCTGATCAGAGTATAGGTTTCACATGAGCACAATCAAGTGTTCTGGGATTCCCATTCTCCTTAAGGTTAGCCATAATTTGTTGTGATCCACATAGTCAAATGCCTTTTGCATAGTCAATGAAACACAGATAGACATCCCTCTTGTACTCTGCTTTCTGCCAAGATCCATCTGACATTGGCAATAATGTCTCTAGGGCCACGACTTCTTCTAAACCCAGCTTGTATTTCTGCTAATTCTCTGTTGATGTATTGTTCTGGTCATTTTTGGACAATCTTCAGCAGAATTTCAGCATGTGTGTGATATTAGTGATACTGTTTTATAAGGATGGGCAGTGAACTCCTAATGCTCATAGTGTAGGAATAGGGTGTGGACTCCTAGGGCTCGTGGTGTAGCAATAGCTGTGGATTCCTTGGGTTCATGGTGAAGAGGTGGGTATATATTCATAGTATTCATAGTGTAGGAATGGAATGTGGACTCCTGTGTTCATAGTGTAGGAATGTGATGTAGATTCCTAGTGTTCATAGTGTAGGGATGGTGTGTAAGTTCTTTCTGTTTAGAATGTAGGGATGTGGTATGTGCTCCTAGTATTCGTAGTGTAGGGATATGGTGTGGACTCCTAGTGTTCATGTTGTAGGATGGGATGTGGATTCCTAGTGTTCATAGTGTAAGGATGGGGTGTGTGTTCATAATTTTCATAGTGTAAAGATGGGGTGTGGGTTCCTAGTGCTCATAGCTTAGGGATGGGGTGTGGGATCGTAATATTACTAGGGTAGAGATGAGGTATAGACTCTTAGCGTTCATGGAGTATAGAGGGGGGTGTGCTCATTGTGTTCATGTTGTATAGATAAGGTGTGGACTCCTAGTGTTCATAGTGTAGGGAAAGGGTGTGTGTTCATAATGTTTATAGTGTAGGCATGGGGTGTGTGTTCCTAGTGCTCATAGCTTAGAGATAGGTGTGGGTTTCCAGTGCTCCTAGTGTTGGAGTGAGGTGTGAACTCATGTGGTCATGGTATAGGGATAAGGTGTGGGCTCTTAATGCTCATAATAAAGAGATGGTGCTTGAGCTCCTAGGGTTCAGTATGCAGGGTTAAGACGTGAGCTCCTAGTTTTTGTGGTGTATGACTGAAGAGGTGTGAGCACATGTGCTTTCACAAAAAGTATACTTTGTAAAGTACAAATGCTCCAGCCTCATTCCACTTGAACTAGTGGATGACCTCAATCTCTTACCTGTCTCTTACATAGCCCCTAAGCAGCTGTAGACAATCCCATACCCAGAGCCCTCCAATCAAGATGACTCTTGTGATCACATGATTTCCCGTAAAGGGGGATTACTTTGAACCTCAATACTCAGGTAAGGAGAAAGGAGTGGGGCACTCGGCTTGAGAGAAAATTTAAGAAGAAACTAAAACCTCAATAATCCAAACGAATAATATGGACTGCAAAGAAAAATATTTAATGATATTCCCAACTATTAAGTAAAGACCACTAGTCCTGGTATTTCCTTCTCCCTGTGTTCATCCACTGGGGACATGCATGAATAGATGTGTTGATAAGACCAATGCCATTACCATGGGAGACAAGCACATTGCCACCAAACTCAGGAGAAAGACTTATACTTCCCAACTTTCCTTCTAGTCTGGGAACTACTCCATGGTTATTCCTGGGCTGTAACTGTGATCCTTTAGAGAGTCAGCATGTCAGAAAGGGGAAGGTCTGTCGAATCTCTCAGGAATACCCTCCCAGCCTGTGGTTAGTCTCTTTTTCCATCAGGCCAAACCTCAGGACCTCAACCTCCAGAGTGAACAGTAAGAAACTCTAGAATTAAAGGCTGTGCATGAATACAACGTGGCAGAGACCTGAGTCACCTGCCTCAGAGGGTTCTAGATAGGTCTGCAAAAGATGTCTGCCACCCAACTCCAAGTGTGAAAACCCCAGTGAAATAATTTGTGCCATTAGACTCCAGACCAGCAAACTGGCACACCCAGGAAGAACAGGCGAGCCAAGCCTGTGAGTAGAGTAGATAAGGTAAGCAGGGAAAGCTAAGATGCCTGGTGGAGCCCACATATAGTCACACCTGCAATCAGAGACTGGATGGGGGCAAGATTCTGCTTCATTTTAAGCTCTTCAATGTCATGATCGAGTTTTGCACAATCAATGACTTATTCATAGCAAATACCTTTTTTAAGAGGCATAAACGCAGGTTATATACCTGGATTTCACCTGATGGCATGCACAGGAATCAGATTGATTACATATGTGGAAAGAAC